GGCCTCGCCTTTTGGTCAGTAGGGAAGAGCGGGCTGTCGGGGGCAGGGGGGTGATGGGTCCTCGCTCCCGAGGCCAGTTGGTGCTTGTCTCCCGACCCCTGCGCGTTGGTGAAGTGGGAAGTGAGTGTAAAGATCCTCCGTGGCAGTTTGGTGTAAAGATGGTCTTTTCCGTAAAATCCGGATCATAAACATCCTCGGGCAGGTAGATGGTGTTTGGTAAGTGCTGCGGTGAGTCAATGCAGGAACAGAGTTCGCTGAAGTTCCTCGCAGTGTAAGGAACACTGGAGGGCAGCTGCTTTTTGGGTTGGGTTTTTTTTGTTCATAAGTGGTCTGTCATTAATTCGACTAAAGTAGTTAATACGTTAAGCACATTTTACGGGTTTTCTTCTGGAGAGGTGCTCTGAAAATATTCTCATTTTCTGTGGCCTTTTCAGGAGGCGTATGTCACAACATAGCACAAAGCATCGCATCACTCTAGCAAGTACCACCAGTTTTTTGTAGTGGAAAACCAAAAAAAAAAATAGAGAAAGAAAAGGAAATGAGAGTAAGCAGGTAGCAGGTGAAAATATTTATTCTTTTGTATGAGGGACTGACTAATGGATTCAAGTCTCTGCCTTTGGCCTTCAAAGTAAACTCGCCGTCAGCTTGAAGTGTATTTTTTTTCTATGGGCCCCTATATTACGTATGTATGTGAGGCATTTGTAAAAGGCCATTCAGGATTGTTGGTCTCTTTCAGTTTGGTTACCCATTTGAGCCAAGTTTAGTCTTCATAAATGATTTCTACGTGGGTTTGCACCTCAGCCTTACAGATTTCCTTGGAGCAGATAATTTATGGGTTTTTTTTAATTATGAAAGATTTAAGTATTAGTTTCAAGATCATAGTAATGATGCATGAGGCCATTTTGTAGAACAGAGGAGCCAGCTATTATTGGTGCTGTTTGCTTATGCTGAACTTTATTGGGATTGTTGGTTGATGTGAATTGGTGAACAAGACTACAGACAAGTAAACCCCCAAAAGGGAAGGGGGGGGTGAAACATGGGAGGCAGGACTCTTTCTGTGGATTTTTACTTTTTGCAAAATATGTTTGGATCTCAGTTACTCATTAACATTCATTTAATTCAAGAGGATACTATTGCTGTCTCTTTTAATGATACAGATGCCATAGTTAAAGTAAAAATTATGTCATTAAAACTCAGTGCCTTTGCAAGCGTACTTAAATAGAAACTATATTTATTGCACTGATAATCAACATAAAACAAATCCAAAGTGGGACAGACAAATTTCAGTCTATCTTACTAGTTAGAAACTCCAGAGAAAAAATGGAAATCTTTGCTTCCTCATTACTTCCGTAGTGAGTGAACTGTGCTGCTGGTGGTAGGAAAGATGGGCAGCACTGATGATGGTATCCTGAGCAACGACGTGTCCATTAAAGCATGTCTTGCTACTGTTTAAGTGTTACTGTAATTTCAATTATTCCAATTAAAGCTGTGAAGTTAATATACTGCTGTGGTAAGTATGAGAATGTGTGTGGGAGGATTACTAGAGAAGAGTAATTTAGACTTATTGCACAGAGTTATTCTGTAATAAGTATTGCAGTTTAAATTAACTCCCACCCTAATCTAAGTTAATTTTACAGGGTGGACAAACCCTCTGGCTTTGCACAGTCTTTTGTCTCTTTATAAAAAATTAATTTTCTGTTGAGAGTTTTCTTTGATAATGAGTATTTATTTTTAAAGAAGCCTTGACTCTCCAATACACTTTGAATTGTTCAATTTACGATTATGTAGGGCAGGACTATTCAGCTTTTTCAACCAGAAACAGGTTTCTGGGGCTAACAGAAGTTCTTAAAAGCAAAAACAAACTCCTGTTGACCTGAAAGGGCAAGAGATCATCTTTCGGCTGTACCTGGTTCACGGTTTGCTGGATGTGTGATCCTGTTCTAGGAGTTTGGTTTCAATAAACTAGACAATAACAGTTACATGTAGTTGAAAAAATGGAATGTTTTCTGTTTTGTGCTTGGTGCACGCTAGCTGTTGTTTTATTGGATGAGACATATAAGATAGGACCTTGCTTTATGAGGTATAGTCAAAAAGAGCTGATATGTGTCTTCTGTGGAATCTAGTTTTACATATAGCTTATAGGATAGACTTTCTGATCTGTATTTATAATAAAACTACTTGTGGGTTTTAGGTTCTGCCAAAATGGAGCTGAGTGATGCCAATTTACAGACTTTAACTGAGTATCTAAAGAAAACACTAGATCCAGATCCTGCTATAAGGCGTCCTGGTAAGTCATTCTCATGAGTGACTAAAAAAGTTTAGTTTCTTTTTGGCTTTTCTGTCTGTGTATAGCAAACTTCAGTGGATGTTTATGCAGTAACCTCTTTGCAGAAGTTCTCAGTATCCTTTTAAAAGAAAAAAAAACAAACAAACAAAAAAAGTGAAGGCTGGATATGAATATAAATTTATTTTGTTTGCTTTTTGTAATTTTATTTTCCTGTATTCCTGAATCTTTTTTTTGTACTGTTGTTATTTAAAACAGTGCTGCTGTTCACAATAAACCAGGATTTACTTCTAGCAGGTTATGGCTTTTAAAAAGAGTGAGGAGGCAATATTTCCACATCCTGCTTTGAATTGAGAGCTTTTGTTAATAGCAGAAGCATTAAAGAGCTTAGTAATAAAGAAGCTACGGTACCTTTTGTCAGACTTGTTCTGTGTTTCTGTTCTTGTGAAACTCTGGAGAAGTGTTCATGTGTTTGATTATTTTAAATAGATGCTTGAGGAATCATAAGACTCCCGTTAAAAAAAATCAGTTCAGTTTTTGCTAACCTTAGTATATTCTCTTACAGCGGAAAAGTTTCTTGAGTCAGTTGAAGGAAGCCAGAATTACCCATTGTTACTGTTAACGCTGCTGGAGAAATCACAGGAAAATGTTATCAAAGTTTGTGCATCTGTAACATTCAAGAATTATATTAAAAGGAACTGGAGAATTGTAGGTATCCTAGTGAGTAGTTGTGCTAAGATTTAATAATTCTTTTAAGGTACAATAAGATACTCTACAGTAACCTTGGAGAATGTGTGTATGTCTGTACTCTGTGAAAGAAAGTAGATCATTCAGAGAATAAACACAAGGTGTAACTTACTGATGAGGGACTAAAACTTGGACCATTGGAGTCCATTCCATTAAAAAGGACTAGAGCTGGGTGATAAAATGATGAACAAATAATTTTCTCTGATATTATATGCATATTTTGCAGAAGCACAATATTTAAAGCTCATTTAACTAACAGTAATATTATTTAAACTAAAATGATTGTGAAGTGTCTATACACATGAGCTGGCCAATTTGGCCTGTGTCTATTGTCGTAGTGTTACAAACATTTCAAGCCAGCACTGCAGCTGAAAGTGATGATACTATCTTCTCTTTCATGTAAACGCTTCTGGGGCATAGAATAGTGTGGGACGGTTTATTTTGGTGGCCTTGCCAGTTTAACACTTAGAAGTATTTGTAGACATCAAATAGCAATATTGCCATTTAATCCCATTTTATCCTTTGTTTTGAAGAGATCAGAAACATTTTTGATGCAGAGCTTTCAGCATTCGTGAAATTTAATTTATGGTAGAAAGTATTACATTTGAGAACTCAACTCCTTTAGAGATGAGAGGTTTTAATTGATACTGTTTATACTTTGTCTCACTGTTAGTATCTGAAAAATATCAACTGTATAATGTTGCTTTACTACAGGGAAACTGGTAAGTATTTCATCATTACATCTTAGCTGGTACCTATTTACAAATTTGCATGTGATTTCTCTCTTAAAACCCCCCCCCCCCCAATATTAAGCAGCTATAGCAGTCCTAGATATGGTTATGTTTGATAAGATCAGCACATTCAGCCTGGGATGAAATTTCTAGAACTTTGTTTCTGTAATACTGTATTCTCAGTCATTTCTCCCAAATTGCATCTTTATCTGTAGTATATTGTAAGTAGAAATAATGTTCTGTTATGGAAAAATTTGTAAGTGGCTTTCTTTTTATGGATTGCTGATGTAATTCAGGATGAGATTTTGTTTTGGAGTAGGTGGAGAAGCTATGCAGTAAGTGCATCCAGAGGACCATTATGATTGCTATGTGGCTTCAAGCACATTGTTTTGTCCAAAATTGAAGCTTTCATTTCAAGAGCAGCTATATGAACATAAAATACAGCCCTAAGGCTAGCTTACCTAGATCGCGTGGTTTAATTTAGCAGCCTTGGACTTCACTGATACAAAGCTCAGTGGAAGTAAAAGGATTTTTGCCTGCTCAAGGACTTCAATTTGGTAGAGCCTGGAGAGTTAGATGTACAGGGCACATCTGGAGAGAGGGAATAGTGTGCTTTTTTAATGTATTTTTAAAGTATTTACAGAAGTCACCTATGCACTGCCTCATGTCTTGTAAAAAGGTCTCATTTCTTTGAAAAAATCTCATAAATAACTCCATAGTCGGGTTTGTTGTTGCTGATCTCTCCACCATCTTTGTCCTCATCTAGCTAAATGCATAGCAGTGAGTCCTGCCTCCCTATTTGGAGCTTGCCTAGTACTGTTATTGCTCCCTTTCACATCATACGAACTTGTAAAGCTCAGGTTTTAAAGACCATCTTCTTTTTGTGGTTTTTAATGTATATAATGATACTGTACATTCTTCTGATTCAGTGAAATGTGATAGAAGCAGAAACGCAAGTTCTTTGTGTCTTATTTTTGTAACTGCTTGTTTATAGCTAAACATAACTCTTGAAATTTTGAAATTACTAAACTTTTTTTTAAGTTTATGGGAAGATGGTGAAAGGGAGGTAAGAAGGAGGATAGTAGTGCCATCTGGTTTAAGCATCTTAAGATCATTGAATTACTCTCTGGAGGTGCTTACCTCTTTTAATTGCTGGATAATTTCTAGGTTTCTGAACTTTGGTGCTGTCACCACAGATAATGTGACTATCACTGCTGTCACTAGTTGGTGACAAGCCTTCTTATTGTATTTCTTTAGTAGAAATTTTGTAATTTACTACCACTTGGCACTATTGACTGACTGGACTTTGAACTGATTGATATTTTGAACTGATCAGATAACTCTTAAAGTCAATGTTATGGTTTTGATGGTGTAACCTGCACCCATCTTCATGTACAGTTTCTAGAAAGTATGGCTTGAGGCAGCTTGCACAAAATAAATCTTTGAGGTTGGCAGAAGTGAGGACAGAGATGTGGTTTGGTGTGGTGGAAGAGGAGACTATTGGTTAAACTTACGTACGTTATTGGCGTATGCACCAACCCTTATTATGGCTGAATTGCTGATTTGAAAAGTCACCGTTGGAGAAGAAGAAAACTAGTTCAAGATTTTACAGAAAGATGTAATTTCTTTCAGCTTTTTTCAGGTACTACTCTTACAGATTCATTGTAGGCAACATCTTTAACAGATCTTCTTCTTAGTTTCTTTAACTATGTAATATTTACATCAGTCAGTATAAGCAATTGGTTTCTGAAATGCTGGTATTCGCTCATTGCCTAGAGTATACTGATGGCTTAATTATTGTTTTAATTTTAGGTTGAGGATGAGCCGAACAAAATATGTGAATCAGACAGGATAGCCATTAAAGCCAACATAGTGCCCTTGATGCTTAGCAGCCCAGAACAAATTCAGAAGCAGGTAATGTGTCAATTCCTGGTCATGTCCATGAGACTTTTGGAATATTTTAAGTGTCTAGAGGCTCTGGTTATTGGCAGAGCTCAGTTCCCTTAACTTGGAGTATATTGTCACAGCTACTTCTACCTACTTTAATTTTTGTTGTTGTTGTTAAAAGGCAATTACTGCATAATCTTATAGCTAAGTTCTAGCATTAGGCAGTTAAATATAGTAGTTCCAGAAAGTGAGACTGCATGTACACATTGGATTTAAAGTGAGATTTATTTATTTGTGGTGAAAACTAGTAGATATTTAACCCAATGATTTTTGAATCTCACAAGAATAATAAGCATTTTTCTTAGATATTCACAATATCTGGCATGACTGCTGTGTTTTTTGTAATGAGGAGCCTGCTATTATATCATGTAATGGTTATGTTTCGTTTCCAGTTAAGTGATGCTATTAGTATTATTGGTCGGGAAGACTTTCCTCAGAAATGGCCAGACTTACTGACAGAAATGGTGAATCGCTTTCAAAGTGGAGATTTCCATGTCATTAATGGGGTCCTTCGCACTGCTCACTCTTTATTTAAAAGGTATTGAAAATAACGGAGTTAGTATATGGACTGTAAATTTCTGTTCAACTCTAAATTTTTACCATTAGACTTAATTTTGTAGATTTACAAAGTCTACAGTTGTGGCTTCTACTTATGCTTATTGACTTTTTAAATAGAATTTAAGTGGTTGTCAAACCGTACACCTTGCATGGTATTGAACTATGTTGTTTAGTTCTTGTTTACTTGACAGTATTTGTTTCAAGGTTCAGCACAAAAAATTAATTGTATGCAAGTTAATTTGGTAATAAATGTGAAGACTGTATTCTGTTTTTCGTGTATTTCTCTTTCACTTGTCAGGTACCGCCATGAATTTAAGTCAAATGAATTATGGACAGAGATCAAACTTGTTCTTGATGCCTTTGCTTTGCCCTTGACAAATCTCTTTAAGGTATTTCTTTTTGAATCATTTCTAAAACAAGTTTAGCATTCTGAATTCCTTGTTGTGAATGCCTGCAAAATGAAAACTTAAGAATAGTTGCTTTGAAGCTGTTAATAAGGTTCAAACTCAAGTCATGAAGTAAGACCTGACAGGATCAATATGGGGTGGAAAAGGAACTGTATTTTCTGTTTTGGTTTGTTTTGGTTTTGGTTTGGTTTTTTTTTTTTTAAAGTTACATGACACTTTTCAATACCTCTTCTCAATGTGGTTCGTGTGTGTTACTTGACTGAATCTTATGTCTTTTTCTAGGCAACTATTGAACTTTGCAGCACACATGCAAACGATGCTAGTGCTTTGAAGGTTCTCTTTTCTTCTCTCATTCTAATTGCGAAGCTGTTCTACAGTTTAAATTTTCAGGTGAATCTCCTTGTTCTTCTAATAGTTTTGCTTTGATCTCATGCAGCTGTTAAGCTCTTATTTATAGGATCCATTTGAGACGGCCTTTAAGGCCAAGCTTTATCGCAAAAATAAAAGTTGACAGTCTGCACCAACGCTGCAGTAAAGGCACAGTAAGGATGGGGTTAATTAACATGTTAGCTTGGCCCTGTCTAAACAGAAGTTCAAGAGAGTCTAAGCTCTTCTCATAGCAAGGAGGTGTTGTATGTGTAGCTCTCCGAGTATGAGCTGTGAAAGACAGAAGTCAAATGCCTGAGTTTGTACTCACTATGCTCCTTTATAAATACGTCTGTACTGACATGAACTCAGTCATGTAGATGAAAGTCAGTTAAAACTAGTAGCTCTATAGCACTATAGTAGCAAGTAATTCTAGTAGCAGTGTGGGGTTTTTTGTTCTGAAATCAGATCTGGATTTCTAACATTATTAAATAAATGTACTATATGAAAAATGGTAAAAAGATACTTTGAGGTGACATATATTTAGTGCCTCAACATGGACATAAGTCTGTGAAGTGTGATGATCATGCCTTGATTGCTTGGGCTGTTCTTCCATATTGGGCAAAAGAGCAAGCTGGAGGTAAAAGGGAGGCTTGCGCTTTCTTGTTCCAAGAGTAGGAGGCAATAAGGTTCTTTCTTTATAAAACTGTAGGCTGTATAGGGTGTAAGCAACTAGTTTATTTGGCAATGGTGTATTCCAAAGCCTCTGTCTGGAGGGTTTTCGTTTGGGAGGAGGGAGAGGGTAGTGTTTCTTTTTGAAGATTGTTTTCCATGCTTTGTTGTCCCTCAGTAGATTATAAGGTGAATACATACTACTTAAATGTAGGTATGTTATCTAAGCAGCGCAATCAGAAATTAAAATGTAGATTTATGCTTTTCCTTCACAGGATCTTCCCGAGTTTTTTGAAGATAACATGGAAACATGGATGACAAATTTTCATAGTCTTTTAACTTTAGATAATAAACTTTTGCAGACTGATGTAAGTTACTGCATAAACTTCCTGGTTTGCCTCTGTGTAGTGGAGAGGGTTGACTGAGAATTTTGGTCTAACTCTGAACAATGCAATGTTTTCTTCATTGGGTGAACAAAGGAATAGAATGACTATAAGGAAATGGGGTTTAAGAGAAGTTGCCCCATTGTCTGAGAAATTTGAGGTCGAGTTCTTGAAGTTGTGTCTCAGTTACAGATATACCCAGCTATGCACAGAAATCAAATTACAGATAATCATCAATGAGTAGATTCTTTCAAGGACATCTGCTGAAGTAACCTGATCATTAGAGAGTCACAGTGCTCAGGTTTTCTATACTTTTCAGCTGGTTCGTGCACTGTGTTTTAGAAAACAGGGTATCTTAAAGAACTTGAAACAGTTGAACATAGAAGGCATGACATCCCTAAGTACTTTAGTTTAGCATTTGCTGTCTTTGTCTAATTACAAGAATTAGTAATTTCACAGGTGAAAGATGATGCCACATCATCAAAGCTCAGATTAATTTTGTGCATGCTTTCTGCATTTTAAAGGCTGATGTCCTCCAGATATAGTACAGTAGTTTGCCACATGATGGAGCCAAAGCAACTCTATAAATTTCTTTACAATACATAGGGAGGCATAATAAGTGTATCCTGTGCTATAGTTTCACTGTTGTTTTACGCTAACGCTGCTGCTAAAAGAAGCTTTGCTACTCTTTTCTCTTCTCTTGTGTCTGTGGGCTATTGCCCAGCACAGACAGACATGCAGCTGTGTGTTGAACGGAGTGAGGAAGTGATATGCATTAAAACTGAAAGGTGGGGAGTGGGCAGGGGGGGAGACGGAACTGAGGTGGTGTTTGGTGGTTGTTTTTTTTTTAATTCCAGCTCAATTTCCCAATTCACTTTGCTTTGTGGCTCCTCAGGCATCTGTGCTGGTATGGGGAGGGGGAGGGAACTACTTTTACAACTATTCCAATTTAAAGTAGCAAGATACGATGTCTTCAAAGCATGTTTTTTCAAGACCTTGTATTGTCTTTTTCCTGTTACATTTGTAAATTAATTTCATGTCAAACTTGATCAGGTCTAAATGATTTAAAGTGCATAGTACTTTCATTTGAAATGTAGGTATGATTTATAACTTGCAGTACAGTTCCAATACAAATCCAGCAAAATACAGTAATTCTAGGGACGTGAGAGGGATTTCTTTCACCTATTTAGAACATGGTAAAATAATAGGGTAAATATTTCCTTCAAATATGTTGATACTTTTAATATTTAAGTAGTGTTGAAGTTTGGATGTTTAAGTTCTTAGTTTTGTTTTATGTGAGGATGAAGAGGAAGCTGGATTACTGGAGCTCTTGAAATCACAAATTTGTGATAATGCTGCTTTGTATGCTCAAAAATATGATGAAGAATTTCAGCCCTACCTGCCACGTTTTGTAACAGCAATCTGGAATCTGTTAGTCACAACAGGCCAGGAAGTGAAATATGACTTGGTAAGTTGTTATAAACTGATCTTGTCAAGTTTAATAATGAATTATAAATTGGTCAGTCATGCTAAAACTGTATGTGTTCTGTTTGTGTTGTTCTAGCTGGTTAGTAATGCAATCCAGTTTCTGGCCTCAGTTTGTGAGAGACCACATTACAAGCATCTGTTTGAAGACCAGAATACATTGACAAGCATCTGTGAAAAAGTTATTGTTCCCAATATGGAATTTAGAGGTAACTTTTTGAGGCTTAAGTTTTCAAAGACACAATAAAATCTAACTGTAATTATAATGATATGTGGCTTTGCAGGACTAAGAATTGAGGATTACCTCTTGTGTACTTTAATACTAGATTCAAAACCAAGTTTCTAGAACAGATTGCTGCCCTCTGGGCTTTGTGGAATTGTATGAATATATCTAATAATTTTTCTGTCTTACTGGGATCTCACATTGAAAAGCATAGGAAATCTAGTTCGTGTGCCACCAATAACTTTTCATGCTTAAAGTGACTATCGGAATAATTCAAGGAGTCTAAATAGGCATGGATATCAGGCCTACTAAATTGTAATGTCTATTTCTCCAAGTTTTGATGGGCTCATATTGATCCTAGTATCTAAAATGCGGTGAAGATGTATTGCAGTGATAAGAAGCTCCCTTCTCTTAAGTCTATGACTCTGGAAGCCTCTTTAAATCTCTTGGTGTTGAACATGTCCTATCTTTTTTTCTTTCTGTTTTTTTAAATCAGGAATACATCAGCTCATGAGTATGAAAGACTAATCTGTGGGGCAGCAACAAGCTAAACAGGCTAGTCTGGCTGGATATTTCTGATTAATTTCTATTGATGTTATAGAAAAGTACTTGAAAAAAATAGCAAGTTGATAATAATACACCTTTTTACCATAAAAAACAGAGACCTCAGTGTTTAAACTTATATGTATTTTGTATTTTCAGCGGCTGATGAAGAGGCATTTGAAGATAATTCTGAAGAATATATAAGAAGGGATTTGGAAGGATCTGGTAATCCACAGATTTATGCTAAGAATACTTGGTCTTTAAATATAGCTCTAAAGAGCTGAAGCAATTTACTGAAGCTTTTATAACTTATTTTTTAAATTGGGAAGGTTCCCCCCCCCGCCCCGAAGAGATTTTATCCAGTTTTTGATCAAGTTTACTATCACAACGTGCCCATCACAGTGTCTTTCTGTTTTGAACAATGTTTTTGTAGGGTTTTTTCCTTAATTGGATTGGTATGTCTCCTGCACTGCACACATTCTCATTTCAGCAAATATAGCCTGTAAGTCAATGCTGAATAGTGGCCACAGTTGTGTATTTAGTTCCTATGTGCGGAGTTTTAAATAACGTGGAGAGACTGTGCCTGTATTTAGTAGTCTATCATGTTTAAACTGAAGTTCTGACCGGTGTTGTGTACAAATCTGTGATCAAGCCAGCTGGACACCAGCCAGCCCTTGTATGCCAGCACTGTGTTCAAACCAATACAGTAACTGTCCTGAAAACACAATGCTGTGCTAACAGAGCTACTTGGCTTTCTGATTGTAGCTGTCTGGTCTTCAGGCAGGCCAGAGCACAAATGAACCAAATCTAGATCTGTATGACAATTCTGTATGTGCTGTTCTGTGCCACTAACATTTTACTGACTGATGCTTTTAGATTAATGACACTTCATAATAGATTTAAGAAATTACTGTACGCTTGCAGTGGCGGACAAAAATTGGAGGAAAATGTTTTTGAACTTTTTTTCAAGCAAACGTTTTATCATTCTTACCCAGAATTGGCTGCATTTTAGGTATTTGAAGCTTTTATTTGCTAGCTACTTCTGCTTTTAAGAGAATTGAGGCAAGAAGTATGTGTTCTTCAGAGATTACTTTAGAAATGTACTCTGTTGCATTTAAATTGACTTGCTTTATTTTCCTTCTGTTGTTTCTGTTAGTATATTGTATTAAAGGCCAGCTGACTTTTTATTTCTTTCTTGAAACAAGGAATTTTTACAGATTTTTTTTTTTTTCCCAAAAATAATACTGATTCAGTATGGTGGGCCAGCAGCTAAGCAGCACACAGCAGCTTGCTCATTCCCCACCCTGCTGCAATGGGATGAGGGAGATAATAGGAAGTGTAAAAGTGAGAAGACTTCTGGATAAAGACAATTTAAGTGAAAGAAAGAGGAAGAAAAAAGGGAAAAAAATAGTAGTCAATGGCTACCTCCCCAAAACCCCTCTCCCCTCAGTTTTTATTGCTGAGCATGACGTTATATGGGATGGAATATCCCTTTGGTCAGTTTGGATCAGCTGTCCAGGTTGTGTCCCCTCCCAACTTCTTGCCCACCCCCAGCCTGCTTGCTGGGCGGGAAAAAGAAAGCCTTGACACTGTGCAAGCACTCTTCAGCAACAGCCAAAACACTGGGGTGTTACCAACAGTTTTAGTCACCAGTACAAAACACAGCACCATATGGGCTGCTATGAAGAAAATTAACCCCATCCCAACCAGATTCGGGTGCACAATTGTTAACATAGTAAAAGGCCTGCCCCTGCATCCTTACTGCAACTTTCTTTAGAGGGCAGCAAAACTTGTGAATACGCATGCAGTATTGTTACGTGTCCATTCCTCTTTTTGTTATACAAATAGTCCCTATTACAACAGTAAGTAAAAGACTTAAATGTGTTCTTACACATCAATGTGGAGGATTGCAATAATTAACATAAGGTGTGACTGTAACTTGAGAAGCTGTATGTCATTAATATATTTATTATGTTTATTAATATGAAAAGCTGTAGACTTCCTCATATCCAAAGAATCTTTGGTTCTCATGCAGATATTGACACCAGGCGCAGAGCAGCTTGTGATCTAGTCAGAGGCTTGTGCAAATTTTTTGAAGGGCCTGTGACAGGGATTTTTTCTGGATATGTTAATTCTATGCTGCAAGAATATGCAAAGAATCCATCTGTTAACTGGAAGCACAAAGATGCAGCTATTTACCTTGTTACATCTTTGGCATCCAAAGCTCAAACACAGAAGGTACTTTTACATTCTCTTCATTTTAATCCATATGCATTCAAATATTCTAGTGTATATAAGGATTGATGCAATTCATTTTATGCTGCTTCAGAATGGGAGTAACTGTATTTGTAGTAGTTTAATGTTGATGAGGTTAAAAGTTGACCATTATATAAACCTATCACAGTTGGTAATTTGGTGGTATCTGATCTTCAGGTAGATTGGGCAAAGTCAACAACCATGTGTAACCATTTCACAGGTCTTATTAGCATGTGTGAAGCAGCCATACAAAGAAACAAAATTAGCTTGGGCCTAGAACCTCTGAGCTTTTAAGTGGTACTGAGCTAGAGTTTTTAAGCCATGGAAGGCCAAATTTAGCTTTATAGAAAAGATCAGAAGTGTTAAGCAGACTAGAAGGAATCTAAGTGACTCTTACAGTTCTTGTCATTATATTTCCCAATGTTTCCTGTTATTTGAGTGTTTATGACTTGGAAATGGCATGTGAATGCTAATGATGGCTGGAAATGGATCTCATTACTTGTTTAGGAGAAAGCAACTAATAGGCTGGATACATTGAAAAGCCACACCTGAGCTAAACTGTATTTGGAGACAGTAGCATTGTATCAAATGTCCTACAGAACAGATTTTAATATACTAATCAATATTTTAAATGTTACTACAGTTCAAATCTCAGTGGCTTTACAAAACAGATTTGTGGTGAACATAGTAAAATATGTTGTACAGCATCTTTATGCAATTTTGCTGAAGGTTCCCGGTCTTTTCCTGAAACTCTAGTTGTATACTACTGCACAGTAATTGCTAATAACAGCAATGCGTAATGTGAACCAGAGTCTTCTAGCAATTAGAAAGCTGCTAAGTTGGACATCTTTTTCTGTGCTATTTAGTGGCAAATATGGGATAACATCACTTAGAACACTTGATTGATAAATATCCATCTGAAAATCCTGTTTGAAAAATTAGTTGTGTTTTTCATAAGAGAAAACTTAGTCGTCGTTACTTTGCTGCTCTAATTCAGAATTGGGGTTTGAGTCCTAAACTCTTACTTTTTTTGTGATAGGCCTTTTAGAAAGGATCAGGTTAGTAAGATGCTGATATTTTCTATCTAAAATTTTGGTTGATTATTAAGTGCTATTATTCCTCAACTCAGAGCTGGTAACTTTGAACCTCAATAGTGCTACAGCTGAAACCTAGACACTAAAAACATTAAGAAAAAGAAATTGGATGGCTCTCTGCTAAAGATGCAATTTCAGCAATCTCATCACGTGCATGCATGCTTTAGATTCCTTTTATTAAAATAAAAGCACATTAAAATGAGTAAGAAAACTAGCTGAATGTCAACATCTAAAAACAGAATTGGTTTGTTTTTTTGTTTTTCTAGCATGGAATAACACAAGCCAATGAACTTGTTAATCTGACAGAATTCTTTGTGAATCACATCCAACCTGACTTAAAGTCTGCTAGTGGTAAGTTAATGTTAATTTTGATATGGCATTTTTTGTGATATATCTACAACCTTGACAGTGACCATTGTTTCTTAAGGCTCAAGCACTCATATATCAGCATAATCTCTGAGACAGAAGATTGTTAACACCTGGCACACAGGAAGTAATTCAAATTTGTTTGGCCAACAATGAATGAGCTTTTAAACAAAGGTGGATTAGCACATGCTGTCTGCAAGATCAGAGCATGTACACACATGGTTGCTATCAGCTACATGTTTAAACTTGTTGAATCGAAGTAATTTGATTTCTGTATTTAAGACCTTTTGGCAAACGTCTATGCTATACAAAACCCCAAGAAGTTAAAATACTGAAGGCTAGGTCGTAGCCTGTATCAGCCCATATTGATGACATTACGGATGTCTAGATTTAAGACATAATTTATTTTATACTTCAGCAATTATCTTAGATATTTGGAATGTAGTGGGTTGTCTTGGAATGTGTAATTGGAGGCTGTTAAAATCAGAGCCAGAAGAGGAAATTTCATGTGAAAGAGTTGGACTGTACACTTAGTGGTACTGGGGTGTGATTTGTACCTAAAACTGATATTCTGTCTAACAGTGCCCATACAGAAATGCAGAAACTAAGCAACGTAGAAAAACATTGTGTGTATTATTTTTGAGGGGAAAAATCATGACTTAATGTCACCTCTATATATAGTATATGTTCAGTAATCACACTTACATGAAAAGTATCGACAAAATTTGCATATTTTTCTATTGCAGTGAATGAATTCCCTGTGCTAAAAGCAGATGGTATCAAATATATCATGATTTTTAGAAACCAAGTAAGTTTTCCTTTTACTCTTATGGTAAAAACATATTGTAGTTTGTTACTTTATACTTGCCAAGCCTAATTTATCTTACTTGGCCATATGTTAACTCAACAGGTGTTTGATAGTCATATATAACACTTCATGCTGAATTTTTAGTTTTGAAAGTAAATGATATTGTTATAAATATCCAATTAACATGTAGTCTATATGCTATCCATATGCTGTGGGAGCACTGAACATCTTAGCATGCTTAGTTCTGTGACACACTCAGGCTTTTTCAAGTGAATGTTAGTCTAAATATACTTGATTGCTTGTATCATTGCAGTAGTTGTTAAAGGGAGTAGGGCAACTTCGTCCTTTACCTTTTCTGATTAGTGAGATGCAGTAAGAAAATATATTGAGTGTTATTTCTAAATTTTAGATTACCTTTATTCATCTCTTATGAAATATGTGATTTATTTCTTTTAAAGCTTTATTTTTTTAATTGCCCATTAAGACAAAGTAAAATGGAAAAAGAAATATACATTAGGAATATGCACTTACTGACGATCAAATGTAATGTGGATGTTTGGGGGAAGTATACAGGCGATGACAGAAATAGGTACCTCTTGGTTGTCAAGGTGTGATTTAGCAACTGGAGGAGCCTTCTGAGATTTCTTCCTCTGCCAAGCTTTCAGTTTGTAGCTGGTGAGCTCAGAGTGGTTATGCTCTAGTGTTGAACCATCTGTATTTTTATGTAACATATGTATAATTTGTTGCTATACTTTTGTAGGTACCTAAAGAACAACTGTTGGTATCTATTCCTCTCTTAATCAATCATCTTCAAGCAGAAAGTATTGTGGTCCATACTTATGCAGCCCACGCTCTTGAAAGATTGTTTACCATGAGGGGGACAAATAATACTACCCTGTAAGTTTTCAAGCAGAAATAAGTTCATTGCTACATAGGTTTTGTCCATAAAGGATGAGAAATATCTGTAGGGGATCTTTTATTTCTTAGTATTACGATATTGTAAAATGCTTGAAGTTTGTGAATATGTTTCATCATTAAAGAGCTGTGTTTTACTTAACAGCATTACAGCTGCAGAAATGGCGCCGTTTGTAGAAGTGCTATTAACAAACCTTTTTAAAGCGCTGACACTTCCTGGCTCATCTGAAAATGAATACATTATGAAAGGTAAATGCTTTATGAGTTCTGCAGCGTAAGAGTAACTTCGTTAACTTGAGGTAAAGGCTTATAGTTACAGGCTACTGGAATTTTTATTTGAAAAACCTGATTTATGCAAACATGCTAAAGTGGTATGTGCAGCCTGCAGTTATTTACCAGGCTGTATTAAGTCATCTTTGACTAAATTTATGGTACCAAAGAGAAACACTAAACATAACGGTATTGTGACAAATTATTTCTCAAATGGTGGTCTTTGTAGTCAGGACAGCTACCTGAGCAGTGTCAGTAGGAGATATGAGTGGGTTAAGGCTAATAGTATGCCAAGATTTGAGACTTGGCAAAGGTGTAAATGATGGTCTTTGCAAAGTTGCTTAATCTTCTGTGCTCCGTCTATAGAATGGGGATAGTGAGGCTTTGTTTCATTCTTTGTCGTGATTACAGATTGATTGCTCTTGCAGTAAGGTGCTCTTTCTTACTGTACCTAATTCCTTGGGATCCCATTTAATAGTAAAAGGTAAAGGATTTAGGCATGTGATGGATGACAGAAGTGTATGTTTGTCTCCAGAAGATAATACTTTCATTTTATTTGCAGCCATCATGAGGAGTTTTTCTCTGCTACAGGAATCCATAATTCCATACATTCCTTCTGTCATCACACAGCTTACACAGAAACTGCTGGCTGTCAGTAAGGTAAAGAAACAGGCTATCTGAGCAAATGTTTGCTTTTTACAGTTTAGAGCAGTCTTTCTAAAGGTTTATGTATACCTTGTTGTTTGTGATCTGTTAGAATACTGTAAATTGTTCAATATTTTCTGACTAAAATAAGTAAAAACAGTCTTCCAGTGAAGTACTGTCTTCATTTTCAGACATACTTTCAAATCATTCTCCCCTGCTCTCATCTGAAAATTGGGAACAGGATCTGAAATCTTTTTGTAGTACTAGTTTGTTCTAATATAAATGTTTGCTTGTGCAGAGGCAACCATTACAATATTCTGTTTTTCTCACAACTCCTTTATTCTTTGTCCATGAAGCTTCTGAGGCTAATACCAAATTTAGGCACTGAAATGTGGGATTAAATTAAATAAATTACCCTCCTGCTTTTGGTGGGTTCTCTTAGTTTTTTGGTCAGGTTGGACTAATATTCTTGAACATTGACATTAGAGAATGCTTTAGAATACATTCATCAACTATCCAAAAAACGTCTGCTGTGTATATTTTAAACTTGGCTGCCGAGTATAAGAAGTGTTCAATAAAGAATTGACTAGACACTTGTATGATTGAAAAATAATTTTTTTTCCCGTTTTTGTTTTGTGATGCTTTAACCACTTGCTAGTTTATGCAGAGCTTCTGAAAAACACTTGTCTTTTAAATATTTATAAAAACCACCCCTCCTTTATGCTTTAAAGGTTTTTATGTTTGCTTTTATCTATGGAATTAATTTCATTAGCATATTAATAAGTAAGTCATAAGTATCTTTATTCCCAATTGCTACTTTAGACTTCAGTTAAAATAAAAAAATATATTTTGCTAAATAAGTGACTTGGCTGCAAGTTTGGGTTGATTTATCTGTTTATGACTTGTTTTTAGAATCCAAGCAAACCTCACTTTAACCATTACATGTTTGAATCAATATGCTTGTCGATAAGGATAACGTGCAAGGCAAACCCTGATGCAGTTGGAAGCTTTGAAGAGGCTTTGTTTTTGGTGTTCACTGAGATACTACAGAATGATGTGCAAGGTAAATTAAAATCAGTAAGTGCTTGTGCTCTCTCTCTACTATAATTGGTTGCTATGTTTACCTCATGGCAGTTTTTCCGTAACACAGGAAATTCAAGTGAGAACGCAGCACGTTCACAGTCCTCATAAACACTTTTAGAAAGTGTCTGGGTTGTTCCATAGGGTACATCAACTGTATTAACTTACTTTTAAAACAAAGTGTATTTTTAAAATATCTAACAATCGCTACTCCAAAGTCTCTTCTTCTTCTTCTTAATTATATTGCCTTGTTTCTAGTAGTTTGTTTTCCATGTTCTGAAACATTAAAAATAGAGGAGATAGAAATTGTATATATACAGTGCTTGCAAATTTTTGGAATAATTAAATTTGGGAAGTGACGCATTTTTCCAAGGTTTTATTTGTTGGAATCTTTGTGTTAATATCATAAAATTGTAGGTTCAATCAATGGATATGTGGTTCCTAGGAACTGACAGTGACCATATTTGCTGAATTTGTAAATGACATCGTTTCTTTTCCAGAGTTCATTCCATATGTGTTTCAAGTGATGTCCCTACTTCTAGAAATGCATAAAAATGAAATCCCATCATCCTATATGGCATTGTTTCCTCATCTACTTCAGCCAGTATTATGGGAAAGGACAGGAAACATTCCTCCTTTGGTCCGACTCCTGCAGGCTTATTTAGAGCGGGGTGCCAATACAATAGCAAGCGCTGCTGCTGACAAAATTGTAAGTTGGATTGACTTAGTCACAGTGTATGCCTCTAGACATGTTGATTTTAAGATTAAAAATTATGAGGAATTTTTTCCTTTAGTGAACAGCTGGATTTGTGCAGAATGTGTGCTTGTACTTTAAATTAATGGTGCTTACGTAGAAAGACAAAAAGTACTATGAATGCAGACTTTTTGGATGCTTTTCCGTTATATGGATAAGGTAAATCCTGGACTGTCATGCTTTTGTCAATTCAGACGTAAAATTCCTGCCCTTAGTTTTTGCAAGCAGGTAAGTTTCCACAATTTTCCTGTCTCATTTGCCTCATGTTGAACACTGTGTGTTAGGAAAAGTCTCGGAGGTTCTGTTCAGAACAGTCTTGAGAAGAGTGAGTGAGGAGGAGCCGAAATGTTGGGAGATCTGAGGATTAGTGAATTCAGTGGGAGATTTATTCTGCATACTTAACTTCTGTTATTTCTGCTGCATGATCTGCTATAGTCAGACTTGATTAGACAATGCCATTGATGAAGCAGACATGCATGTTCAAATTGGCTTTGGTGTTCATTTGATCAAGGTTAATCTTAATGCTCAAAGGACCATCACTTGGTCCCGATACAAATCTGTCTTCCTCTCCTTAACTGCAGAAACAGAATCCTGGTTTAGGTTATGAAAGCTTTTGCCTTGGTGTATGTCTTAGATGGTAAGGGCCGACTTTCTGGTAGGTCACGTATGAAGAACTGTTGTATAGAGTTTTATATTTGCTTTGCTTACAGCCTGGATTGTTAGGTGTGTTCCAGAAGTTGATTGCCTCTAAAGCTAATGACCATCAAGGATTCTATCTTCTAAACAGTATTATAGAGCATATGCCTCCGTGAGTATGAGTTGAAATTACATTCAAAACTAATTTCTGTAGACTTTAATATTTGGTTTGTTTGTATGCTTCATAGTTAATGTTTAACAACAGAAAAAGTCACATCAGTAAAATAGATTTGAACAATTCTATACGTGTTTTCTGTGAAGTAACATCAGTAAAATCCTAGTATGAATTTAATAACTATTCTTTTAAATTTCCAGTGAATCAGTTGACCAGTACAGGAAACAGATCTTCATTCTACTATTCCAAAGACTTCAAAATTCCAAAACAACGAAATTTATTAAAAGTAAGTTCCTTGCTATATGAAAAGCTTCAGCACCAGTGATGCCAACAGTTTAGAACATGCAGCTGTACTGAATAAGTATCCTATCATGTCCTGTGATTATGCGGATGAAGGGATACCAGTGACTCTTAACATCAGTGACTTGCTTCAAGTTCTTTGCGTAGTCAAGGGTGGCATGTAGGGCAGTTGCCACAGCAGGTGACACTTACTTCATGAAAACTGAAGGAATGGAACTAAAATGAAGGAAGAGACTTGTGTATTCCTCTTACTTTCTTACTCTGTGTGATGTCATTAATTATCTGAAAGTGTCTCCATTTAATCTTCAACTAACACCAGCAAACTTTCACTCTCACACAACACAGTAATACTGACCACACTTCCTTTTGTTACATATAGTTGTGTGTTATCACTGTTAAATATTCTATGCATTTGTGTCATTCTACCTTACTACAACTTAAGTTATTGATAAGGTTTTATGCTAAACTAGCAAAGCTGTGACAAATTATTGAAATACAGCAGGAATAACCAGAATATGTAACAGGAAGATTATTGTCATACTGATTAAATTATTTTAATGATACTGTCACTACACAAATTATGCAATGTCTATTACTTAATCCTATAAAATCTGGTTAATGCCACCTGATAGGAGCAAGAATGATAGGATTGCTTATAATGGTCTTCCACAAACAAAATTTAAGTGGTGCTTTTAATGCATTGCATCTGTGCTCTGGTACAAAGGCTACGCAAAGGGATTCACAGCTAATCTGAAAAACTGCATTCCATGAAGTTTTCAGCTAAAAGCAGTAAAGAGTTCTTTTGTTACTTGATCTAAAAAATTTGCAAATGGCTTTTCTAATGCTTTATAACTGCTATAAGGGGGGAAAGGACCGAATCTTGTCTTAGTTGTCTTACCGCCATGTTTTAGTGTGGTGCGGTACGTGAAAAGATCAACAGTTTCTAGGCAAACTTCAAGGTAGCAATTTAATGTGCTTCACTAAAACTGAAATAAGATTGCTGTTTCTATATATAAAGATTGCTGTTTCTGTCCCCTTGAAAAACTTGTTAGAATGTATTTTGCTGCTGACTCTAAAGCTATTCTTTTGTTTTCATGTTGAGTTTTAATTTGACCTTTTTCTTGTTTCAGGTTTCCTAGTCTTCATTAACTTGTACTGCATAAAATATGGGGCATTAGCTCTGCAGGAAATATTTGACAGCATACAGCCAAAGTTAGTATGATTTTTTTTTTTTATTTAAGACTGCTGTGTAATTTTTATCTTTTAAAGTAGGAAATAGTTGTCTCCTTTAGCTAAAATTGCAAACTGCATTTGTCACTAATTTGACTAGCCAAATCTTTCTTCTAATGTGGTTGATTTATTTGTCTAGCAATTTTTCTTTTTCTTATTTGCTGCCCACAGTTCCTCGTTGATAGTTCAAGATATTAATCTCTTAAGCAGGTCATAAAAAGGAAAGAGTGATGTTTTTATTCTTTTCCCTTTGTGAAAAGTTTGTATGCTCAAATTTCTACTAGGCATCCACTGCAACAGGGCAGCATCTTAACAAATTATCTGGTTTTCTCTTTTTCCTAGTGATTCATAACGTTTCTGGTTTTCTTTTGTCACTGTAAGGCTGATGAGGCTTTCTAATACTTTTTCTTTTAATGTCCTAATAGGATGTTTGGAATGGTTTTGGAGAAAATTATAATTCCTGAAATCCAGAAAGTGTCTGGACAAGTTGAAAAGAAAATCTGTGCTGTTGGCATTACAAAAATATTAACAGAATGTCCTCCTATGATGGACACTGAGTACACCAAGCTGTGGTATGTAGAACACTTCTTCGAGTTCTGTTAGTGAGGCTGTTTGATTTTTTGAAAATGTGAGCTATCATCAAAATATATTCTTCAAATAAACTCCGTTGTGATTTTTTCAGGCCTGCTATTGTTATGAGGCTGAGTTTCAGGCTTTTCATACCACTTCCTTTTCTCAACAAATACAACTGTATTTTCAAAGCAGATGCCAGAACTGGTTTGAGATTTTTGTGATGGAGATAGCGCTGATAGGGGCTAGCTAGGACTGCGTTTAAGAAAATACACTACTTTCTTTTAGCTTGTATTCTTTCTGAAAAGCTAGGCCCAGTTTTGACTTACAACTGTTCTACTAGTCAGGAGACCTGAGCATACTTATAACCTGATAGAGAGACTGTAAGATCTTAGCTTGACAGTAGAATTTTGGGGAAAGCTATCTGGGAAGATTGTAAGCCAGTCTAGCCGCCTAGGATGTCAGGTAGCCTGAATTTAATGACAATAACTGGATCCCTGAACTAGAACTTTTTTTTTTTACTTAGGGAAAAGGTGTAATCTGGAAAAGAATTGCTTTTCTTAGGTATGTTTCATGACAATTTGACCTGATTAAAAAATAAATACATCGTTCATGCTTTTAATATGAGCACCTACATTATGCCTGTAAAATACACAGATCCACAATTCTTCAAGTCCAGCTTAGATTGGGCACTTTGAATTTCAGTAGCTAAGCAAGTACCTGCAAGGGCTAAATTGTAAAGGGTTCCAAGTAATTTGAACATTCTTGTAAAATACACCCTGTCCTAATGTATTTTAAGCACTCCAATTTTATCCTCCCCTCTTTACATATAGGACTCCTCTGCTGCAGGCCCTCATTGGCCTCTTTGAACTGCCTGAGGATGACACTATCCCTGATGAAGAACACTTCATTGACATAGAAGATACTCCAGGATATCAGACTGCATTCTCTCAGCTAGCCTTTGCTGGGAAAAAAGAACACGATCCTGTAGGTCAAATGGTGAACAATCCCAGAATCCATCTGGCACAGTCTCTTCACAAACTGTCTACAGCGTGCCCAGGCAGGGTAGGTGACTCTTATACATGGCATGCTAATGCTAAATTCTACAGAGAAGAAATGCTTTTTTGATAATGGGTCTCTTTTGCTAATGTTTGATAATCAGCAAAATGAAGTATGTCATAACCAGAATGCAAGGTATTGCTCTCTTTCATTCTTTAATGGAATATAGCATTTGTAAGGTTTTTTTCCCTAGTAACCTTAGAAAGGCCATATTTTCACATTACTTAATATAGCAATAAGCTTAAATATGCCATTTTTTAAATGAAAATTTATCCACTTGTCGGTATATAACTGATACTTGTCTCCAGTTCAGTTGTATGTACTCGGGAAATTTCAGGCAACTCATGTTGAATTAAACAAGTTAAGTTTATAGTTAACTATTTTAACCCACAGCATCTTTGTTTTGTTCAAGATTTTGGTAAGTAAAGATTGCCTGAGAGATCTGATGTTTGCTGCATCCAAATATCTGCTTTAATAACGGAAGGTTTTCTCTACTCTTCTTTCATATTTGATTCAGATAAGTAGTATGTAAAACTGTCAGCATCAGGGATTGTAATTCCAGCAACTGCTTTCACAGTGAAAAACTGCTGCTCTCAGGATGTCGTTTGACTTTGTACCATATGTTGACACAGTGATTAACAGGATATAGCAGTAGTTTAATGTATACACACATTGACACTTCTGCTCTATCGTATGTTTTAAGGTTCCATCAATGCTGAGTACTAGTCTGAATGCAGAAGCGTTGCAGTATCTCCAAGGATACCTTCAAGCTGCAAGTGTGACACTGCTCTGAATTGCATATATTCCACAAGCAAGATCAAAAGCTGTTTTGTTATACAGAAGGTTGCCACTGACTTTTTTTATAGCAGAGCTCAGACAGAATGAAAAATGCTACTTGAAAATGTATTGCAGAATCCATCTTGTAAAAGATAAATGTGGCTTTAAGCAGAAACTGAAAGAATTTGGTGGTTTGTGTACTCATAGGTAAAAGGTGGCTAACTTCCTTTCCCAGTTTAATTTCAAAGGGAATAGTCATAGCGGTTTGTTATGGGATTTATTTGAAATCTGCATCTGCAGTGTTTGGATAACATTTTCAAATGTATGGAGAGCACTGGCTGTAGAAACTCACTCTGGTCACTAAAATTCCTTTTCATTTTGATGTTGTCCTTTGTATTTCTTTTGTCTTTCCTTAAACTTTAAATTGTGAATAAATAAGAAGTACTTGTTTAAAATGCCTGTCACTGTGCGCTTACTGTTTTAGAAGAACGTAGTTGGTTTAAAAACAGACAATGTTTTAAATTTAGAATACAAAATAGTGGGACTGTGAGGATTTTTCTTTATCTTAAGTAATAGTTTAAATATACTGTAGGATCATACAGAGCAAATTAAAACTTTGGCAGAAGATCCGAAGCTATTATCACTCTTGATATTCATCAACAGCTGCACCCCTTCTCTTTGAACAAGACATGTCGGTATAGTGCAGTAAAAGCAAGTCATCTGCCCTCTTAGAGCGGGTATCGGTCTCCAAGTGAATTTTTAGTAATGTATTAAAACTGAAGCAGTGATCTTAGAGTTAAACTTAACTCGGACGTTCTCCCTGTCTCCTCATAAATATACTGATTAGGTTTGCTAGCCTTGAATTCTAAGTGCATCGGTTTACCTTGTAGTTATGGCTGTTTAAAGTGACTGGTTAAATGCCTGAGCCTGACTCTGTTCTCAGATGGCCTGGGCACTAAACTACTAGACCATAGGCTTTCAGAGCACTGGTACTGCAGGGATATAAGTAAATCTAATTATAGAGACTGGAAAACTCATGAATAAGAGTGAAGTCTCAGACTTAAGTGATACTAAGCGATGTCATACGTGACAGATTTTTTTAGTCCACAGAAATTCTGCAGATGACTTGAATCGGGACTGGTCTTTTGTAGTTAGAATGCCTGTTGAAGCTGGGCCTTGTATCAAGAAAGTTACTGAATTTACTGAGGGTGAAACATAGGGCAGAATCAGCCATATCTCTTAATGTATAAAGAAATGAGTTGCTTGTTAGACAATGGATATAAACTACTTAAGTGCCTAAAAATGTATTAAATGAGTCAGCATCAACAGGTTTTCTTGAATCTGGTCTGTCATGCAGTGTCAGACCCTCTGTGTTCATAGGTATGAAGCGAAAGCAGTTCTCAAGAGTGAAATAATACAGTGGTGATCATGAAAAGCATCTGCCTTAATGCTGATGAGAGAGACTGTGATGCGTGTTACAAGTTTGCCGAAGCGCCTTGCAGAATGAATTTCAATAGACAGGCTGAAACCACATGGGAGACGCGTGACATTTGCAAGGAGCTGAGTGCCTTCCTCAAATGTCAGTGGTAATTGAGCTGTGGTCATTCAAAACCTGCAAGCCAAAAAGGATACTTGGAACCCTGTCTGCTCTGCAGCTTTGTCTTTTTCCTTGGATAATAGGGAGAATAATTCTACAGAGAATTTGCAGACCTTTTTTTTTCCTGTCAGCCTCAAAGAATGAAAACTAAATTGGTACTGGTGGTCATGTAACAGTAATTTGACATGCTACCTTTGCATCTATTCAGGCAGACAGCCTATTATGCATGTATGCTAGATAACCTTGTGCTGAAATGGGGTTCTTCAGCACTATGCGATATTAAGGGGCTCATATTAGACCATCTTAGTTCTAAGCAAGATTTCTTTAGGGGATGGGTTGCTGAGATATGTAAGTAAGTGAACAGATGTTTCTTATCTTACCAGTACCAGCATAGATGGAACTGGACAGGATTTACAGCAACAAGCCAGAACCTTTTTGAGAGATAGCCAAAGAAAAATTGGCTCTTCTGAATGGAAAACTATCAGTGAATCTTGATGTTCACTCTCTTGCACTTCCTGTAACGTGTGACTTTTTGTTGTTGGACAGACATTCCGTGTGAATAAGTGCCTAAGTGACTTCAGATCAACAAATACTAGTGGCATACTTGTCCTTTAGTTCACTCAGAGTTGAGTAACTTAGACTTTGTGGACATGACTGTGGCACTGTTAGTGACATGTTATTTAGTCCTGACACATTCTGCAGATTTCATAAGGCATGCAAGTGTTTATATAGAGCACTTACCCTTTCAGGGAAATGAACTTTTCAAGTGTGGTGCAGGCAAGCAGATGCATCTCTGCTTCAGAGTACAGGCAAATGTTATTGGCAGTGCCCTCACCTTCATTTAGGTGGAGACCTTATTGCTACTTCTGAGACCTCCCATTCTCAAGATTCAGAAGGCAACACCATGTTCCAACTGTATTTATCTGTTAATTGTAGTGGTAACTGATGCAAGCAATGTCGTAACAGTTTTTGCAAGATTGTTGAACTTCCCTAGGCCGCCCTTTGGTGTATTCCTTGTTAAACAGTTAGGCAAACACCAGTTTCTTTAGAAAGCTCAGGCTGGAAACACCTGTGTCAATGGATCTTCTGAGGACTTGGGAGCATCTAATGCAATGTTAGACAATTAACTCCTGCCCACCACCTGAGATCTTCTGAAACACTTCTGAAAATAAGTAGCCAATTCTCCCTTGCAACTGATAATGGTAGAAGATTATTCAAATTCGAGGGGGAAAAGATTACTTGCTCCTTTTTGAGTATGAAATGGGCAAAGGGACACTTGGTTTGGGATCTTTTGACACCATGGAAGTCTAATCTACTGTCCTTTTTTTTGGAGCCTGCTGCCTGACTTGTGGTTGTCAGCTTCTAAATAATATTCTGAGGCTTTTGTAGCAGAAGAAATACCTTATCGTTGGTTTAAGGAAAAACAAAAACAAAAACAAACCACCACCACCTATAAGACCAGTACATATTCTTGGTTTTGTGGGTTGTGAATAGGCCACGATGCTACCAGCGTTCCTGCAATGTTGGCAGCACATACTAAAGCAAAGTTCTATTTCTTCATATAAATATGTGCTAAGGTAAGAGTCATCCTCTCAGTGAGCCAGACATTTCATTCTAAAAATTCTCTGATGAGGCCAGAGCACATTCTTTCAGCCGACTTCTGCTTTCAAAAAACTTTTCTTCAGGCTCTCAGTAGCTCGCTTGAACGTGCCTTCCCTCAGGCTGCACTTCTTTGATTGTTATATATACTTTTGTACTCATTCCGTGACCTTTCCATGAGAACAGCCTTCCTGAGAGCCGTAACATTGCCAAGAAGAGGTCGGCCAGGTTAAAGCTGTCGGAGCACGTCTTTGTACTGCCACCAGCACGAGTTAACCGTAAGGCATCGTGTGAGATTCTGGCTCAAAGCTGGCCACAGCAATCTGTTTGTTTACAGTTCTTCACCCTTCCCTGAAGTTCACTCATTCTTGTACAGAAAAGGTTTATCATTCAGTGAGCTTCCCTTTATCAGTCCCGAGAGCGCATGCTTCAAGCTGTCGAGAATGCTGCTAAAATGCTGGCGAATCACTTTGAAAACATTTTGACAAAACTTTGGAAGAAGTTTGCAGCGCAGCATCTATGCACCTGCACTAACTTGGATAATAAAACCAGCTTGGCTGTAGCAGTGTGGAGATCTAGGCATCCAGCTGTATTTGGCGGAGTGCCTCACCTGACAAACAGAGCTGTCTCTGCCAGACTGCGCACGGCAGTTCATGGAAAGCTAGTTTGGATACAGCTGTACCCCGTGCTCCAGAACGGCTTGGCGCTTTCCTTGTCCCAAAGCTCCCCATGTCAAACCTTGATTTTTTGTCTTAAAACAGCTTAATCCTTTCTTCACAGAAACAATAGTATTTCTTAATACCTGTTACCTGTTTTGCATATTCTTCTAGCCCTCAGCAGTATTACAAAGACATTTTCTCCTGTTTGAGGCATTTGCATTTAAAATTGCGCAGTTGTTAACTGACAAGGATGTGCTCCAGGCATGAGTTCTCTGTGAAAATTTAAATCTATCTATAAATCTACCTAGCTATCAGAAAGCAGGATAAATGCTTTATTTTCCCTTAGCTTTCTACCCTTGCTTATTTAAATCAAGTCATTATTGCCTTTAATATAATTTAGAGGAAATTTGAGGTGTTCCTGGGGAATACGGGCTATAATAGTAGGTATCAGCTAGTACATGAAAAGCTCAGTGACTTCTGTTGACAGCTAGTTGCAAAGTGACTATAGGCTTTAAAATTTTCTCTCAAAATAATAATCTTCTAATTTGTGTGAGGTCAAAGCTTATGCTGAACTTACTGTATTGTATTCAAGATGAGAATAGAAGAAAATACCTTAATAATAAAGTAATAAATCTTAATAGAAAGTAAAAGATACTTTGTTACAAATGAGTAACATGTCAGAAAAGCAGAATAAAGGGGGTTTAGCACAGCTAGTTCATATATTTAGCTTCCTAGTAAAAAGTTTTCATTTTCAAAAGCTGTGAAGAGAAATTCACACCCTGTTTTTGTGCCTGATACAAGGGGTATTTTGAAGCAGGTATTTAACAAAGAAAATATATTAATAACAAATAATCAGATTTCTACATGAACATCTGAAAATACTGTCATTGCAGTACTGCTTCCTTCATAAAACAAAATGAAAGTTGCAAATATTTTACAAATTATTGGCTGGAAATAGGTCTCGGTCCCTGTTTAAGCTGCTGTATAAAGAAGAGTGGAAAAGTCTTTTGTAACGTTTTTGAATAATTAATAATCATACACATTCTAAAGGAGTAAATATCCTTCAAATGAAAGGACAAATATGTTGGATATTTGAGGTGGTGTGCCAAGTGTTCCTCGGACTTTTGAATTACGTATTTGCTTAAATTATGTTCAACTTTGTAATCTGACTGTGGATACTTTTTGTCCCAGTTGTGCAGATTTTACACTTATCCAAACGTTCACAATTTTCTGGAAAAAGAACATAAAACTGAATTTTTAATGCAACTCAACCTGGAAAAAGAAAAATAGATAGCTTTGTAATTCCCTGTCTCCACCTAACTTTCTACAAAAAACCTGCACAAATGTTGTTTCTGTTGTAGACAACATTAAGCCTTGCAGTAATGATTACACAACAGTTGAAATTTCATTTCCTTCTGAAATATAACTGTGGCTGGCTTGGAATAATTAAAGCATCTAACAGCACATATTATTATGCAACAGACCACAAGAACATATGAATAGATGTTTAAATGTGATATGGGATATATATCTATATACTTACATACTGGAGAATGTCTTTTAAATGCTATATTGTCAATTGATTTTAAGTGTATGATGT